CTTTTTATTCTCACATTTACTTACAATTATACAAAAAATCTGAAAGAATTTCTCTCCCTTTTGGTATAAGTGTAAAATTGAAAAATTAACGTTCAATGTTGGGTTTTTCTAACTTAAACCCTAAGAGCATATATTAAAAATACATTTGTTGCACTTTTTTACCATTAATTTATATAAAAAAAATTATAAAAATAAACTTTATTTTCAACGCCAATACTACATGGAATGATTTAATTGGACAATTGATAAAACTAAAATAAATTTTAATTTTTTCTATAGAAGAATGCATGATAGAAAATTCCTTTAATATTTTATTAAAATGAAAAGTAAGACAACTAAACTATATTAGGAGTGATTTTATCTATAATATTATAAAGTAAAAGTGTAACAAGTAAATTAAAACGAAGACAGTATAATAAAGCCTTGGTGTACCATCCCTAGGATTGTGGACCAATTTCCTTAATTCTTTCCTTGATTTCATTGATTTATAATTGTACCATGTATAGAGTTATAAATAACAAGCAAACAATTTCTCTTCAATATTTCTACCTTTTCATTATTAATTTGTAACACTTTATTTGATCAAAGTTAATTCATGTACAATATTTCTTAAAATGAATTCTTATAATAAATAAATGGTGTCAAGTGGATAAATATAGATTCATGCATTTCATTAAATGAAAAAAGTTAATCATAATTACTATCATTGTCACTTAAGATTGTAAAATTTCATTGTAAGTAGACATTGTGTGAGTCATTTTCCTTATTTAATTGTGAACCTATTAGGGTAAGCTCAATTTTTTCTCTTTTGGTATATAGAGAGTTAACTCTTGCAGAATTTAAAACTCTAACTTTGACCAAAATCAATGTTTTGAAATTAGTACGAACCAACTTGATCAAACTCTTGTCAGCACTAGGCAAGGAACGAGTGGTAAAGAGTGAAGTGAACCATGTCAGAAACAAAGGTTTGATTTTTATCCATCCCTATTTGGGTACAAACAATTCTAAGAGCCTTTCATCAAAAGAAAAACACAAAAAATTCTAAGGAGCCTTGTTATGAGAATACATACATACATAAGAAGACATAAGCCCCCACCCTCTAACAAAAAGACTTGATTGAGCAAGGGTCACCATAGCGTACCGAAACTGTCAACATGGATTGGAAAATTTTGTAAATACTATTCAAGTGAGATTAAGAAATTCGTCAAAACAGCTAATGAGAACCTTAAATTGGGTTACTAGTGTCATGCTCTTGAAACTTCTAATGAGACCTAAACTGTGGCCTATTTGTTTGTCCCTTTTTTTTCTTGAACAAATTAAAATGTGGGGATGGAAAAAAAAACAAGATAAAACTCTTTACTTAGTTTCAATTATCTTTTTTTATTTTTTTGAAAGGCTACAGAAACATTTTATTATGTGAGTAGAAGAGGTACTTAAACTTGTATATATGGCAAAGTTATACTCATCTTAACAACAATTAAGCACTAATTCCCCTCGGTTTTCTGCCTTGTTTAAGTATCAAACACCCACTTGGGTTAAGTACTTAATTTCAATTATCTTAGTTATACCTAATGAAATATCTTTAACTTTAGAAGTGAACTGTGGCATTTAAGCAATCATTTTCTAACGTTAGTTCTTTCTCCACATCACTTTTTCCTCTTTGTTTCCGCTGGTCCAGTGTTATTAAAGGCAAACCAAAGTCACACTCACGCCACTGAAATTGCAATTTGTATTATTTTCTATAAATTTCAGCTGCTCTCAGAAAGGACTATTCCTTATTGACTAGAGACACAAATCAAATCAGCAAAATCAAGCCTTAATTCTATCAATAGAATGGTTTGAATTTCTCCATCACCATTTGGTACAAACAATTCTAATGAGCCTTATTATGTGAATGCATATGTATGACAGGAAGACATAACCCCCCACCGTCTAACAAGAAGACTTAAGCAAGGGCCACCATAAAGTTCTCAACCCAGAAAGATTGACTAGGGAAATTTGCAAAGACTATTCAAATGAGCCTAAGAAATTCGTACCAACCTTTTTTGTGAGTTCATTAGCTCCATTCAAACTTAAATCCTTGAATCGAATAGGGAACTCGTAGATAACACTAATGCTTCTAAATAGGTATTTTCCCCATACTTGCAACATGCACAAACCCATAGACACTTCAATTAATTCATTTATGCATGTCATCATTCTATACATTGAATTCAAATTCTAACAACATCCCTACTCCTTCTCCCAACTAAAATCTCAGGCAAATAAGTCCTCAAACAAACAAAGGTAAACAAACGGTTTTTGTATATCATGGGAAGAAAGGATAAACAAAAACCATGAATCCTAAATAAAACATGAGTTACACGTATCCTTTCCACAAAATCTTTACCATTCATGTACCCAAAAAAAAAAAAAAAAAATCTTTACCATTCATCTCTTTAGATTAAGATTTAAATCGTGCTAAATCTGAATCAATCATTCATAATAGAGAGACCAATAGTTAAGATTTTCTGTAACAATTATGTAAGCGAATCCTAACACAAAACATACATACATTCCTGCAATTTGGATCAAACTGGAAATGATTATCCAAACAATTCTTCCAAACGCTACACCGTCAGCAGTCGGATGTGAGAGGCGCCGGTTGATCACATCATTCTGATAGGCACTAATGGCGTTGATGAGAAAATTGATAATGAAAAAAAAAAAAGTCAAATTGAAATATTCGGAACTAAAATTAGTACAATGTGGAGAAGTAAATTGCAATTTAAATGTAATGATTCTTGACCTGATGGTGAAAAAGGAAACTTTTTTACACAAAGTGTTGAATGAACTTTTTTACCTCAACTGCAATAGTTAATAGATCCGGGCCGGAAATCGGAACTCTCTCCGGGGACAACTGCGGCTATGAGAGTAGTAAGGGATTTCTGCGCAGTAGAAGCCACATCTAGCGTCTACAATTCCGAAAACCACTTTCCAGATGGTTTTTGCGGTCACTGGGAATGGATAATACCGGCTGGAAGGAGGTTTTCGGCGCCGAACACACCAGTTATTACCTCTTCGCCGTTGAAAACGTACCCTTTATGCTAATTTTGCGGTCTCCTGTATATCGGGTCATCGGCGATCACAATAGAAGAGGAAGCAGAGGAAGTCAACAAGGCTGCTGAAGGTACAAGGATAAACCAGTAATTTGGGTTGCTAGGCCTAAGATTTCCTTTTTGTCCAATTTCGCCCTCAAACTTAATCTTTAGGCTAAGCCTTTAAGTTAAATCAATATTCAATATCCTTCTTGAGATTTAAAATCTTTAAACCTAGGTTTCTTGCTTTCTTAGGAGTGCTTTATTATGATTAATTGTTGAAATTTGTTTTTGGTATATTTTGTGCTTACTTGTATTCTAAAAAAAAAGGTTTAACTTTGAAATTAACTATTTTTATTAATGTGTTAGGTAATTAGATTATATATTAACATCAAGGAAAGTTTATGTAACTACTTATGTATATAAAATCCATGATATTTTAAGTATATTGTTAAGATGGATTTTTTAAATATTCAAATATGTAATTCAATTGCTTAAGTTAATTTGATAATTAAAATATTACATTACTATTATATTACAATCATGTAAAGTCACGTGACCTTCTACAAAACGTGATTTATAAGTACTTAAAAGGCTCCTGGAAAAATTACGAAAAAGAACTAAGTTAAGGCAAAATTGTGGAAAAAAAAAAATATATCAACCCTTTATGTATTTTCGGTGATGTATTTGTCTAGCGGGCCTTTCAACTTTTAGGAGGAACTAGCTTGACCCACCTCCATTTGCGAGTTGTGTGGTTGTATATATTATTATTATTAAAAAAATTTTAATTTATACAAGTTTAGCCCACATACTTTATAATTTGAAGTTTTATTTTAAATTATATATTTTTGTATAAAACAGTTTATATAATATATTTAAATGGTAAATTGGTTTAATAAATTTATATGACATGCCTCGTTAAGTTTAGTTAGTCTAAAGTTGAGCAACTTGTTTACAATTTTTCATGAATTTTATATAATTTTCATTATTTGTTAAAAAAAACCTTGAATGTAAAAGAAATTTTACAATTAAGTGAATTTTTTAAAAAAATTGAGGGACCATATGGCAAGAAGAAAGGATGGAATCATTGACCTAAATGAATAAATTTGAAATTTAAGTATCAAAGTGTTCATAAATTAGAAAAAAAGAACACATGACATTTTACCTCTGAAAAAATTGCAGAAAGATCCACAAACCTCGGCACGTGTTGGGTGCCGACATCACCTTTGTCGGTGTCGATACTATGTGTTAAGAATTTTAGTACTTCGTGAAATTTGCTAGAGAAGTGCGACACCTATATTGTGGTCTTGACACTCTTATCCCATTGTCCAGATCTTTCTTTACATGTCAATAGATTTGGGTGGGGTCTCGCATATTAAATACATCTATCAAACATCTAATCATTTTTTGAATAATAAAATTAAGAAAGTAATATATTTGATTAAAAATTTTTAAAATGTGATAATTTTAATTAATTAAAAAAATATTATTTTTTATTAAAATAAATAAAATACCAATAAAATTTTCATAATTACTTAATAAAGAAAATCTCTACCCATTTAGAGCTAGGAATTCTAATTTAAATTTGGTTTAAACTCTTGAATATAATGAGCCAAGATATTGTATTTAGTCAAACCCTAAATATCTAAAATAATAATTTGATTGAAAAAATTAAATCTTAATTTTTTTTAATTATCACTGATTTAAGTTCTTAGCGTTGTTAAAAAAATCTAAAATAATAAATTAATAGGGTTGAAAATTTTACTTTTTACTTATAAATTACAAGTTATGTACTTATTTTATAAGAAAAAAATAGTAGGTAGTAAAATCAATTCTTTCACAAAAATAAAAAATTTGTTGTGAATTTAGGGCCATCCACAGTTGGGCAGAAGTATATTGTTTTATTTTTTAAAAAGTTTATATGTTACTCTATATGTATTATTGTCTGGAATAGGAACACTCAGCAGCATGACATGCACAGAGAAATTGACTCAATGCATGTAGTGTCCAGAAGAAAGAAATTGATGAGAAAAAAATTAGAAAAACTTTAAAAAGACAACATCAATAGTAAGTCATATAAAGAATTATTTTTTTTAAATATTACTTAACATATTAATTTAAAAAAACTCAAAAAATACCTATTTCACAAAAATTTCAAGGCAATAATTGCAAAACTTAAAAATAAAAACTATCACTTATCAAAAAAAACTTATCAAATATCTTTTTCTCTTGAACATATAACAAAACTAAAAATAGGTTCATCACAAACTAGAAGCAGCAGTACTACTAATAATAATAATAATAATAAAACAAAGAAAGAGAATAAAAAAACCTTTTCAATGTAACAAAAGACTATAGTAAAACATAACTACAAAACAGAAGGCAACAATAAATAGATAATATAAAAATTTCATATTCACATATTGTTTGTGCATTGAATTATTTAAAAATAAAATTTATCTAACACTAATAATCATTTGGTCATAAATTCAATGTGAAAGTTTAGAACTCTCACTCACATAAATAATCATATTCTAAAAAATCTATCTAAAAATCAAAAAGTTCAACTAAGTGTCCAACATAATGTCCAACACAATGAAGTTCTTTTATAAAATTCCCATGTCTTCAATCAATACTTCCCAAAACACAATTAAGTTCAACACATTTTCACATTGTACGAAACATATCAATTACAAACTCATAAAATAGAACCATAGCTAAGAACTAAGCTTTTGATTGATAACTAAAAC